TGAACTCAGGGCCTCGCGCTTGCTAGGCAGGCACTGTACCACGTGAGCCACGCCCTCATCCTAACGCGATCAATTCTGCCATCAACACTGGTGTGCACACGTCCGCTTTGGATGCATTTGGATCTATTGTGCCGTGGGAGTGGCTCAAGTCGTAGAGCACCTGCCCAGCCAGTGCGAGGCCCTGAGTTCAAATCCCGGTTCCATCAAGAGAGGAAAAAAAATGAACGCGATGACCCAGAAGTGGGTTTCTGGATCTAATGGCAATCTATTTTTAGCTTTTGAGGAACCTCCGTGGTGGCTGCACCATTTTGTGTGCAGTTTTTCCACCTCCTCACCAGCAGTGCTGGCAATTTCCTGTTTGTCCCACAGTGACCATCCTGGTGGGTGTGAGATGGCAACTCATGGTGGTTTGGGTTTGAATTTCCCTAATGACTAATGATCTTTTTACATCTTCTTTGGATAAATACATACTCAAATGCCTTACCTATTTTTGATATTTATGTTTTCATGGTATTGGGGGATTTGAACTCAGAGCCTCACACTTGCTAGGTAAACACGCCAATACTTGAGCCACATTCCCAGTTCCTTTTTGCTTCTAGTTTGTTTTTCAGATAAGGTCTTGCACCTTTTTCCCAGGCTGGCTTCGGACCAAGCTCTTCCTATCTCTGCCTCCTGAGAAGCTGGGATTACAGGCGTGCCTCACTACACATGGCCAAAAGTTTTTTTTAAATTGTGATGAACTCCAGCTTATTTGCTTTCATGTGCTTTTGGCGTCATATTTAAGAAAGGTTCTGAATACATCTCTAATCCTTCTAAGACTTGTACAGATTTAGTGCTCACCTGTAAGTCTCTGACCCACATTGAGCTGGTGTTGGTGTGTGGTGTGAGGCAGGGAGACTCATCCTCCCTCATTCACTGTCCTAACGCCATTGAAAAGACTGTTCTTTCCCCATTGACTGGTTTTGGAGCCCTCGTTGAAGGTCAGAAAATCATACACGTGTGGGTTTATTTCTGGACTCCCAACTCTTCTTTTCTTTTTTGGGGCAGCACTGGGGTTTGAGCTCAGGGCCTCGTGCTTGCTAGGCAGACACTCTAACACTCCAGCCACTCCGCCAGCCCTGTTTTGTGATGGGTTTTGGGGAGTAGGGTCTCGCAAACTATTTGCCCAGGGTGACTTCAAACCAGAGGAGGAACCGGGGACTGTCATCTTCGACGGACTTACTTTACCTCACTCAGCAACAGGAATCCTCTAAGGGTCACCACAAAACTTGAATTAAATGCAGGATGTCACTATGTCGCCCACGCTGGCCTTGAACTCGCTATGTAGCGTGGCTGGCTTTAGACTCACCTTCCTCTTGCCTCGGCTGTCTGAGTGCTGAGACTTCAGGCGTGCGCCACCATGCTCAGCTAAGTGTGGTAATATTTGAAGGGTTCTGGAGAACCTGACTGTCGATCAGCTGGTAAACAGCTGTCATGATGAAAGCAACAGTGACAAGAATGGTCGCCTTTCTGGCGGCATTTGATTGAAGGAGGACGGGGAGCATGGCACAAATCTTATTTGTCCCCACGTACCTGTGAGGTGGACACAAAGGCATAGCAACGTTCACCGTGGTCACCAAAGACCTAAGCTAAGATGTCCACACTGGCAAGGGACTCACATCCAGAGGACGGTCCTGTTGGGCACAGTGAGTAGCTGGCCCATCGGATTTAGAGAAGGGGCTCCCACTGGTGCTTCTGGGCTGACTTTTAGAAGCCAATGTTAGGAAACCGGCTTGTGCCTTTTACCCACAACCTGGACTGCAGATGAGGTTGGTGTCTGTTGTCATTTGAATATAAAATGTCCCTGAAAAAGTCTCAAGTATCGAGTTGGGTGCTGGTGCTCCTGCCTGTAATCCCAGCTACTCAGGACACAGAGATCAGGAGAATCATGGTTCAAACCCAGCCCAGGCAAATAGTTTAAGAGACCTTATCTCTAAAAAACCCACCAGAAAAAGAGGGCTGCCTACTTCCCTGCCCTTCTGTCTTCCTGCTCCTCTTCCTTCCCTTTCTCTATCTACCCTCCCTCTCTCTTGCTCTTCTAGAACCTGCTCCACCAACCCTCTTTTAAAGCAGTATTGGGACTTGAACTCAGGGCCTTGTGTTTGCTAGGCAGGTGCTCTACCAATTGAGCCAGGCCTCCAGTCCTTTTCTGCTTTAGTTATTTTTCAAGTAGAGTCTGGAGTTTTTGCCTGGGGCTGTCCTTAGATTGTAGCCCTCCTATCTACAGCCTCCTATGTACTTGAGATCACAAGTGTACACCAGCACGCCTGGCACCTTGGTTGAGATGGGGTCTCACTATCTCCTCCTGAGAATCTGGGATTACAGGCATGAGCCACCATTCCCAGCTCAGAGCCCCATTTTGGAAGTCAGGTGAAGTGGCCCTGTAATGGTGTCTGGTCCCTTTCCCTTTGTAACACTTCCATTTTTCCTCCTTGTAATAAAAGAGGTTGGAGGGCCAGGCACCATGGCTCACACCTGCAACCCTAAGTGTCTAGGAGGCAGAGATCAGGAAGATTGCAGTTTGAGGCCAGCCTGGGAAAACAATTAGTGAGACCCCTTCTCAACCAATAAAGAGCTGGATTTAGGGGCTGGAATGTAGCTCAGTGGCACTTGCCTAGCATGCACAGGCCGTGGGTTCAATCCTCCGCAACAATAAAGAAAACACCCACACACACAAAGCTGGGCTTGGCGGCATGCCCGTCACCTGTTACTTGGGAAGTATAAATAAGAGGATTGAGATCCAGGCTGGCCAGAGCATAAACGCGAGGCCCTATTTAAAAAATAATCAATGCAAAAAGGGCTGAGGGCCCCTAGGCTGAGGCCTAATAAGTGCAAAGCTCTGAGTTCAAATCCTAGTACCACCAAAAAAATAAATTAAAAAAAAGCCTTCACTGCTTCCTTAGAGAGAGCATGAAGATCGGGTGTTGTTTTTAATAGGTCTTGGGAAATCCCTTTCCGGGTGTCACTAGTATGGGTGCAGCACCGCACCCCAAACCTTCCTTCCTTGTGACCTCTGCCAGCCCCCTCTCGATGCACCACTGGGGCAGCGACAGTCCCTCCTGCTCACTGCCAGGCCACGCTTCTTTGCCCCTCATGGTTTCTTCTCCTTTCCCTCTTTGTCATAAAACCCAGACAGACAATGGGCTGTCCGTTCTGAGTTGTCAAGGGGCAGCTATAAAAAGCCTCTTTGAGTAGTAAGAAATTTCCTGTGACTTCTCTCATTTCATCCTCCCCAGTCACTGTGCCTGGTGAGGATTGTCACTGCCGGTTGATAAGGCTATGAGGCAAAGAGGGGACAGGTGAGGAGCTAGGGAAGCACTCAGTGGGTATTTCTCACTCTATAAGGAAGGGCAATGAAGGATGGGTGTGGTGGCTCATGCCTGTAATCCCAGCTACTCAGGAGGCAAAGGTAGGAGAATTGAGGTCCAAATGCAGCCTGGGCAAAAGTGAGAGCCCCTGTCTGAAAACACAAACCAAAAGCAAAGAACTGGGGGTGTGGCTCAAGTGGCAGAGCCTTTGCCTTCCAAATGTGAGGCCCTGAGCTCAAATCCCAGTACCAGAAACAAAAAGGCAATGATACCAGGTGTTACTGACTTCAGCATCTTCAGTTCTGTCTCCTTTGGGGATCCAATGCCTCCCCACACTGCTGTGTACACACTGGCCCCAGTCATGCTGGGCAGAAACCTCATAGGTGTCATTGGTCCAGCAGAAATTATCTCAGAGTTGATCCAACCTATATTAATTCTGCAAACACTGGCCATGGGACAGAGGGTCTACTTGGGACTTGGTGGGTGCAGAAACGAGACACTGATTTTTTTTGAGGCAGGGTCTCACTATGTAGCCTAGGCTGTCCTCAAATTCACACACCTCCTGCCTCAGTCTCCTGAGTGCTGGGATGATAAGCGGGAACCACCATGTTCAGCTAAGGCATTGATCTCAGTTCAAGTGGGAGATGTAGATACAAATGGCCGTCATCCAAGGATGCTTTTCCCAGAACCCAAAGACAACCCAGAATTCCCCTTTCTTGGAACCTGCAGGTTAAGTGATTCCACATTCTGGGACCTCAGCTACTGTCTGTCGGGGATCCAAGACACCCAGACAGATCTCACAGGCACCAACACGGGAAGGGATCGAGGGGATCCTTCATCCTTTATGCACACACTTGGTCACATATTTCTCATTTGAAGCTGCTGGGACTGGGCACATGGCACACACCTAATAAGAGTTTGGTGAGTGGGTTGGGGGCATGGCCCAATTGGTAGAGAGCCTGCTTGCAAGTACAAGGCCCTGCGTTCAAACCCCAGTACCAAAAAAAAAAGAGCGAGGTGGTTCATGCCTGTAATCCCAGCATTCAGGAAGCTGAGGCTAGTCTAGGCTACATAGTGAGACCCTGGCTCGATAAAATTTTGGTGGATGGATGGATGGATGGATTGATGGATAGATGAATGGATGGGTAGATAGACGGATGGGTCTATGTATGGATGGATGGATGAGTGAATAGATGCATGAATGGATGGGTGGATAGATGGATGGGTGGATGGATGGGTGGATGGATGAGTGGATAGGTGGGTGGATGCATGGATGGATGGATGCATGGATGGATGGATGGATGGATAGATGAATGCAAGGAAGGCAATAGGGATGACTACCCATTGCCAGCTGAATAAACTGAGGCTAGAGTGGAAAGTGACTTACCCAGGATTCCATAGGGAGCAAACAGCAGAGCCAGGATCCCCATCGGCCTCTGTCTATGCACCCACAGCATTTGCACTTGGCCTGGGCAGTGCAATGGCCCCTCCCCCAGCTCTTTCATGGGGTGCCCCAAGTAATCCCTGACTCAGCTGGACAATAGCAGGCAACAACTTCCCTATTCTGGACCGCAGAGGCCAAGATTTCAAGGAAGTGTGGATGGTGGCAGGGAGGGGTGAATCAGCACGGTTCTCTTTAGCTGCCCCTATAAAGGGTAGGGGGAGCAAGCTGGGGTGCTCTGCAGGAACCATCTCAATACCCCAGATTCTTTTCCCAGCGCCCCGGCTTTGTGCTCTGAGCTGCAGCCTCTGCTCTGCAGAACATGGCAGGTCCCAGGATGATTGTACTTGGCCTCCTTCTCCTGGCCTTCTGTGCACACTGCATCAGCCCCACAGGTGAGACTTCCATCCCCAGCCCGGAGCCCTCCACAGGACACAGTTCCACGGGAATGGCTGAGTTGGCACAGTTGGGGGAGGAGGATGGACCAGCCTGGGGCTGGGGGAGTGGTGAGAGGGGGTGACCAGTGAGTGGACTGGGGGTGTTCGGAGCAGAGAATGGGTCTGCGTCTGAGGCCAAGCCAATGTCAGGCTGGGATAAGGCACAGTTCTTCTCTCCATCCCCGTTCAGGCTCTGTGATCATCCCCTCTTCTTGCTGTATGTCATTTACTTCCAAGAAAATTCAGGAGAACCGAGTGGTAAGCTACCAGGTGGCTAACAGGAGCGTCTGCCCCAAGGCAGGGGTGATGTAAGTACTTCCCCAGGGAACAATCAACCTCCAAAGTCCATGTGGAGTCAAGTCAGTGCTATGCATCCTGTGGAAGTCTCGGCTTTCTCACCCATAAAGCTAGAGGGAGAATTAGACTCACCAGTCATCTAGGAAGTGTCAAATATTTATCAAGGACATAGCATATCATCTTAACTAATCTTAACAGTTCTATAGGGGAAGACTGGGCATGGTGGCTCACACCTATAATCCCAGCATGCTGAAGACTGAGACAGGGGAATTGTGAGTTCGAGGCCAGCCTGGGCTACATAGTGAGAGCCTGTTTCAAAACAAGACAAAGCACCAATTCTGTGGGAGAGATACGATTTTTGTTCCCTTTTTTATGAAGGGCAGCTGTGGCTCAGAAAGGTGACTTGCTCAAAGTCACACAATTAGCCAGACATCTGGACTCCAAATAACTTCACAGATGCCTCTCACCAGGGTAACAGGTGTGAACTCACATTGTCAACAGTGGTCTGCGGTGGAGATGTGCTAGTATTTATTATGACTTTTCCCCAACTGACACCAGACTTAGACTCGTGGCCTGGCACCCAGATGCCCCAGACCCTTACTACTCACAGCTCTCTGCCTTTTACTTTGAAGGAGGTGTTTGTCTCTTATTTACTGAGGCAGGATCTCACTTGTAGCCCAGGCTAGCCTGGCTCTCATGACCCTCCTGCTTTACCCTCCTAAGTGCTGGGATTACTGGCGTGCGCCATCATGCTGGTTTGGTGTGTGGTGGTCATTGCATCTTCTAGTCTTCTCTGTGCACAGCGATTGTGTCCCTTCCCTCAGATCCAGCAGTCCTGGGCCTCTTCTGTCTGCCAGGGAGATCCCCGAAGGATCCCACATCCCTCCAGCCCACCCTTCTTCCCCAAATGCTATAAACCAGGACACACCAAGAGATGACATCGTGGCAGGAACTTGTGAGGGCCAGGTCAAGCAGTTGGTCCTCCTGAGCTCCACAGCCACCTCCCCACAAAGTGAGTGGCCCAGGGTCTTGCCAGACTCAGGTGAAAACACTGTTCTCTCTCTCACAGTTTCACCACCAAGAAGGGCCTTAAGTTCTGTGGTGACCCCAAGCAGGCATGGGTCCAGAAGTACATAAGGAACCTAGATGCCAAGCGGAAGCGGTCTTCCTCAGGCCCCAGGCCAGTGGGCGTGAAGGGCGTCATCCAGAGACACTGTGGCAACAACACCGCGTTCTAACCAACACCTGCCTCCATCCTGGAACTTGGACATGGCCTTGGTCTTTCACCAGGCGGCCTAGGGCCTGGGAAAGCCAGCCTGGGTAGAATCAGAGCTAATTTTCCTCTTCTTAGCATTGCTCTCAGGGAATGTGTCTATCCTATTAAAAACCCAGTCTGGGGGCCGGGCATCAGCTCCCAGCATTCTGGACCTCCCTGAGTTGGGTGAGAGGCTCCAAAGGAGAGCAGTGGCAGCCCTGTGGCCTATTCCCCCTGACCTGGAGCTGGCCTGTCTGTGACTGGCAAGTCTGTCAGAGCCCTGGTGTCCCTTGCTTGCCTCTGACTTTGAAGCGCCCTCTAAGGCTTGCTATCTGTCCATCTGGGGATGTTGTATGTCAGCAGTGGCTCAAAATGTCCCAACTTCCAGCACTTTGAATAAAGAAAAAACAAGAAAAAGTGAACGGCTCCTTTTCACTACCCGATCCTGGTCCTCCTTCTAAAATCTCTGGGAACAAATTGGCTTTTGTAAAAGAAAGGACGTGAAGCCAGGTGAGGTGTTTCATGCCTATAATCCCAGCACTCAGGAGGCTGAGGCAGGAGGATTAAGAGTTTGAGACCAACCTGGGCTACATAGTGAGAACCTATCTCAAAATGAAGAAGAAAGAAAGGAAAGAAGGAGGGAGGGAAGGAAGGAAAGGAGGAAAAGAAGGAAGGGAGGGAGGGAGGGAGGGAAAAAAGGAAAGAAAAAGACACAGAGGACCAAGTTGAGGGGTCAGCCTGGGTAGTTTAATCCCTTTGTAAAAATATGTCCTGCTTGGTGACATGGCTTGCTCCTTGCTTCTTTGGGGACAAAGTCTTGCTCTGCCTTTAATACTGGGCTTTCCCCACATTTGGGTGAAGGGGAGATAGGGTGGGAGCAGGGGAGGAGGGTTTTTTTAATTATTCATGAGGCACAGTGACACTTCTTGTCATTAGTGTAAAATCACAAGTTAAGTAAAAAGTGATTTCTCCTTTGAAAGAGTCTTGTCTGTCATCTCTCTTGGGAGCAGAGTTGGGTGGGAACAGTGGAGACGCCCTCCAGTCTCCTGAGTCCCTATCCAAGCCCAGGAGCAGGGGACAGCAGGGGAGCCCAGGGCATCTCACTCCTGGCCCTTGGGCGTCCGGATATCAGGGCTGAAGGTGTGGCTCAGTGGGAGAGCGCTTGCCCAGCATGTGCCAGGCCCTGGGTTCAATCCCAGCACCACCAAAATAAATTAAAGGAACATTTCTTGCACCAATTAAATACTTTTTTGAGCAAAGCAATGCGAAATGATTTGCAAACCAGAGGAGATTTTGAGATTAAACTTAATTGTCTATGGTTAATCAAGCAACCAGCTTAGCAAGTTTACTGTTTTTGGCTTAATTAGTTAGCTGGCTACAGGGCCTCCTGCCACCAACCAATCAGTTGCCAGGACTAAGCGCTACATTGGTTTGATCTGCTGGGCCCAGTACAGGTGCCCAGGTCAAATCTAGCACCCCCCACAAAATTTTATTCAACTCTGACTGTATATCCCTCATCCGAAATGCTTGTTTTAGAGCTTGGAGTTTATCTGATTTTTGAATATTTGCACAGACTTTACCTGCTCAAGCTTTTATAATCTGAAATCCCATATCTCAGAGTATTTCATATTTTTTGGTGGGGCAGGGGTTTACACTCATGCTTGCAAAGCAGGCACTCACCACTTAAGCCACACCTCCAGTCCATAGGTCTCCTGAACTATTTGCCCAAGCTGGCCTTGAACCCTGATCCTCCCAATTTCAGCCTCCCAAGTAGCTGGGATTATAGGAGTAAGCTACTGGCACTTGGATGCATATTCTGTGCTAGGCAGGAGCTCTACCACTTGGGCCACTCTCCCAGCCCTTTTATGTGGTGGGTATTTTCAAGATGGGGTCTCTTGAACTACTTGCCTTGCCTGACTTCGAACCTATTTCTCAGGAAATCGCAAGGGTTTTAGGAACTCTGTGTCAGAAACTGGGGTCAGAGACCAAGTGCATACATCTTATCATGTATGTACACCCTGAAATAAGCCACTTAAGCTCTCTGAACCTGTTTTCCTTTCCTGTAAAGTGGGATAATAAGACCTTTCAGTTTTAGCATTTAGCCTGACACAGACCTTGCAAAAAAAAAAAAAAAGAATGCAAATACTGTATTTGGGAGGTACAGGGAGTAACAGCAGCTTGGGGAGGAGGGTTCAAAACTGGAGTCGGGCATGGTGGTTCATACCTGTAATCCCAGCACTCGGGAGGCTGAGGTAGGAGGATCAAGAGTTCAAAGCCAGCCTGGGCTACACAGGAAGAGCCTGTCTCAAAAGCAAACCTCAGCTTCCTCTTTGTGCCACTGTGAAGCCCTGTCCCCTGTGGGCTGTGAGCCTCTGCCAAATGCAGGCTATGCTCCCTGTCTCCTTGATCTAGTAAATCCTGAATGCAGAGTGTGGCTGTTCCCGTTTATGTGGCCTTTATTCATCTCCATGGAGAAGCTGGTGAGTGTGGTGCAGCTGCAGCCACGGGGATAAAGGAACTGAAGCAGGTGGTGGAGACCAGGGTAGAGAGAGGATGTCCTCTGAGCCAAAGTCTTTGGAGAATGGCCTGGAAGTCTCTGTTCAAATACTGACCGCATATACCCAATGGCCCAATGACTCCACTTCCCAGAATGCACCCTACACGGAGGGAGGGAGGTGTGCAGGCGGCCATATTTGCAGCTGCACCATCTGTCATTATAAAAAAAAAATTGATGACAGCCTAGTTAATCCATTTGCAGGGGACATAATCAAGATATTTATACCTATAATTCTTACCCCGTTATGTAGCCCGGGCTGACCTCATGCTTGTGATCCTCCTGCTTCTGCTGGGATTAAAGGTGTGCACCACCATGCCTGGCCGTTATTTTTCATTTCTTCGATTTTCTTTTGTGGAGATGAGGTTTTGCTATGTTGCCCAAGTTGGTCTCAAACTTCTGGTTCCTGCCTCAGCTTCCCAAGCAACTGGGACTATAGGTGCATGCCACCACACCTGGCTTCAAGCAAGATATGTAGTTTTTTCTTTTCTTCTTTGGTGGTACTGGGGCTTGAACTCAGGACCTGTGCTTGCTAGGAAGTTGTTCTATCACTTGGGCCATGCCTCAGCCTTTTTTGCTTACACCTGTAATCCCAGCAATTGGGAGGCTGAGGCAGGAGGATCGAGAGTCCCAGGCCAGCCTGGGCTCCACAGCTAAGTTTAAGGCCAGCCTGGGCTACACGGTGAGATCCCGTCTCCAAACAAACAAACAAACAACAACAAAAAAATGAAATGAAAAAAGCTTGTGGTAGGGGGGACTGGGGAAAGGGTGGGGGTGGCTCATGTGTAGAGCACTTGCCTAGCACATTTGAGGTCCTGGCTTCCATACTCAGCTGGGAAGTGACGGGTTAAGCATCTGATCATAGAATCCTTAGCTGGGAGCACTAGCTCACACTATAACCCCAGCTACTCAGGAGGCAGAGATCAGGAGAATCACAGTTCAAAGCCAGCCCTGGCAAACAGTTCATGAAACCCTATCTCAAAAAATCCCTTCACAAAAAAAGGGCTGGTGGAGTGGCTCAAGGTGAAGGACGTGAGTGCAAACCCCAGAACCACACACACAAAAAATAGATTGCCCAAGTGGTAATGGAGGTCCCTGCCCAGTTTCCCCCAGCCCATCAGGCCTTTGGGGAGGCAGCCTGTCTTTCTCTTTCCCAATCCCTGTCTTGGGCAAGCATACAGCTGGAAGAAGTTTCCGAAGAAGTCTTGCTTGGCTGAGTTGCTATTGGGGTGGCTAAAGTTCCATCTTGGCTCTACTTCTAGACCCTTGCACAACTACTGAGTGCAAAGAATTCCAGGAACTTATTTTTGCAGGTGGAATCTATTTGTCCAAAGGATAATTGTCCAAATTACAGGCCTGACTGTTCTTCCTAAGAAATCTGTTCTCCAGGTCCTTCTGCGGTGTGGCTCAGCCTGGGACCTGGCAGGACTTAAAGGGAATGGTTCTGATACAATTTAGGTGAGTGGCCTTTCCCCAAAGGCCCATGTGTTAAAGATTTGGTCTTTTGGGAAATGGCAGAAAACTTCAAAGTCCAGCCTGGCGAGAGGTCTTTAGGTCATGGGGTGGGGGGTTGTTAAAGAGGATTGTGGGACTCCAGCCTCCAGCCATTCCTCTTCCTCGCTTTTGCTTCCTGGTCATGAAGTGAGTGGGTTTTTTAAATTTTGTTTTGCTTTTGTTTGGTGGGACTGGGATTTGAACTCAGGGCTCCAAGTTTGCAAAACGGGTATTCTACTGCTTGAGCCACACCTCCAGTCTATTTTGCTCTGGTTATTTTGGAGATGGAGGGGTCTCACAAATGACTTGGACCAGCTGGATTTGAATTTTGATCTTCCCAATCTTAGCCTCCCAAGTAGCTGGGATTACAGGTGTGAGCTACCACACCTAACCTTGTGGGTACCATTCTGTCTGTAGGGGGAGGTATAGGACTCTGAGACTCCCAGAGATGGGATAAGAAGACAGACCTGGCTTTGCTACTTATGAGCTATGTGACTGTGACCTTGCACAAAGCACTTCTCCCTCTGGACCTCAGCTGTCTTGGCTGTCAAAGAGAAATGATAGTAACGCCTCCCTGGCAGGGTGTGCTGTGACTCTCTCTCTCTCTCTCTCTCTCTCTCTCTCTCTCTCCTTTTTAGGTATCAGAGCTTGAACCCAGGTCTTCACACACACTAAGCAAACTCCTTGCCACTAAAGTCACCCCCCCCTCCTTTTAGTTTTGAGGCAGGGTCTCACTAACTTTGCCCTGTCTGGCCTCCCAACTCACAATCCTCCTGCCTCCACTTTCCGAGTAACACATACCACCACACCCAGTTCAAATGTTTTGTTTTTTTTTCTCACCCGGAAACTATATATTTCTTCTCTTGATTCCACTCTGTTTCTGTTGGACCCAAACCAGAACACTTCCTGCTCCCAGGGGAGCTGCCCAGTCCTGGAGATCCCCTCCTACCACACTGTGCCTCTTTGTCCTCCCGCCAGTTCCTCCATGTTTAGGTCTCACTGGATAGCAGGTGGGACATTTGTTTCTGACCCTGGATGTACCCCAGTACCTCATAAGAGCTCAACACACATTTGTGAAAGAAACTGCAAGCACTGTGCTGAGGGTGACAGAGGTCACAAGGAGCCTTCATGCTGGTCTTTTTACAACATCCAGGGAACCTTCTAAATGACATCTAATTCACACTGCCCTGCTAAAACTCCATATCGCCTCCCTGCTGCTGCAGACTAAGGGAAAAAATGCTTGACCCCCCTCCCCAGGGGAGCAGAGGTAGAGGGGGAGCCACCACAAAGGTCAGGAGGTGTCGGCCTGAGGGGCCCACACTTGCACACTCCCTGCCAAAACTCAGCACTTCCATTTGTGTTAGTAGCT